CGATCGATTATAAGCCATCGGTAGACAAAATCCTTGAGACGCTCCTACGAAAAAAACAATGCAAGATCAAACTGATGACAGAAATAATTTTTTTTACTTACCTGTATAGTCTACTTGATATGTTGAGTCCAACTGATTTCTAAGTGCTTGCTTTGTTTCGTCCGATGGCAAGCCACAAACACTTTCAGATCGTCGAGGCCAATAAGGAAATTCCTTATGAGGATGAGGTCGATTGGCTCTATTTGTATTCGGACGAATGAAAGGTTCTCGTTGAACATTCTTTTGATTAGTAAAATCAATTGCATATAATGATTCACCTACAGGACCATTCAATTGAAATGGACAACCAATTAAAAATTGTTGACTAAATGGCGCACCTTCAGCAATTGATGACGATCTTTTCAGAACAAATTCTCGTCTATATGTTGTTTGATACGCTTGATTTCTTCCAGAACAACAGGGTGTATTCGATCGAGAATGAATGCTAGCTTCCATAGGGTCTTTTACAAAATGACGAGAATAGCCGAAAGCATGCATACATTATTGAATTAGATGGTCATGCTTTCAAATAATTATAAGAAAAAAAGAGTAACAGAACGTAACAGCATCGTCTTGGAAACCTATTCACTACAGCTGTCAATCGAAAAGAATAAGAAACTTCGATTGATTGTCAAACAAATAATGTACATGTTTCTGTACAATCAATAATCATATGTTCTACGAATTTTATCAATAACATACCATTATATTAAGAAAATAACTTGAAGAATGATTCTTTCTTTCAGTAATTAGCAAATACTTTTTATTTTGTTTTGAAGTTGCAAAAAAATAAAAACCTAATATTCAAAACAGACAAAGAAAATCAATAGAAAACAAAAGAACATTGAAAAGTAGAACATGAACGAGCCTCATCAGTACACAATCATACGAAATTCAAACAATAAAAAATTAATAATGAATAGGTAATAGAATCAATGAAAAATGATACATCGATGAACAAACAATAACTTTAGACGACTTCTTATATTCAAAAAGTATCTGCTGATTTCGGTCCTACTATTAAAACTGTCAAATAGAAAGCAAACAACAGAATAAACCTATTGGTTTCTATGTTTTAGTAATTTTCTCATATCTTTGGAACCGCTAATCCCTTTCGATTAGAAAATTTCAATGAGAATATCAAAGTACGTTCGAGCGAGTTCGGATCTACATCTGAAGAAGCTTTATTACCCGTGTCTGGGTCTGAAAATTTTCAATCAACTGAGTCCGGGGTCCGAAAACATTTAGTAAACCGAGTTCGGATTCGAAAGTTTTGGACCCAAAAGGCTCTAGTATAGTTTCATTTAAGTAGAAGCCATAGATTAGTTCAATATAAAATTTTCTAAAGACTGGTTTGCTTGACAAAACAACTGACTTGAATATTTTTTGACACTCACAAAACGATAACTGATAGGAGTTAGTTAAAACCAATTGATTTACCATTTACTCTAAGCTTTTCAAGCGTTGAAAAAAATTCTTTCATATGTCACAAATAAAAATAGATACAATATTTCTCATTTCATATTGAAAGAGAGCACAAAATTCTAATCGCTATTCTTACTTTCTAGCTTGTCTGAAATACTTTTAAGTAGGTCAACATTAATAATCATTTTCACCAGAAACTTCAGTTAACGTTTTTCATCTGAAGTTATTCTTTTTTGACTCTTTCAAAGATTACCTCACTATTCTCGAGGAAAATCGGAAACAATTTCTAACTCCATATTCAGAAAGTGTACAATATGCTGGTTCTAATCCATAGTTTTTAACTACTTCGAAGCGCTTTCGGGAGGTGAAAAATAATCAAATATTTTATCTCAAAATTTTTGAACCATCTGTTATATGTCTAGAAAAAGAAAGATTTTAAAAGTTTGATTATATATCAGTGTGATTCTAGGAAAAGCTTTTTTTATTATCAAAAAGAAAACCAATGAATTCAATCAAAATAAAACTAATGTGCAGCATTTTAGTTTATCACATCACACGTAAAATCGTTATTTTTCCATATGACATTTCATTTTGAAATAAAAATAATAATAATTCATTACGCACAAAAAAAGATCCCGAGTCAAATAAACAACTAAGGCGACGAACATTAATGGTATCATAAACGGAAGACTAGAAAAAATATAATCACATTGCATTATCATTATTCGGTAAATGAAAACCAGTGCGTTGAGAATAGACAATGGTATTAAGTCTTTTCTTACGAGCAGCTGTAATACAATTGATCATTGAGTATCACTTTGACGCGTCTATAATATGCATTTTCTTTCTTCCTTTGGCAACAATGACAATGTAATGTGAACCTGTCAAACTAATATCTGTCCAAAAATCAAATGGCCGTGGGTATTTTTGGAATAACTCAAGAATGGAAAGGACTAGATAGCTGCGGTTTTCACTGTTACGCAGATACATCGGTATTCTATATATTCACTAGAACATGATGAAGATTCTGACAGATTCGGAGTTTTGTCAATACCAATCTTTGAAAGAGTTGGTTGCAGTTTTTTTAAAGTTCCATAGGAACCTATATATCTAAACTATAGGAAAGATAGCTCGAAGGCTCCTCTACAAAATGAAGGAAGGACCACCTCTCTAGTTTTTCTAGTTCTCAAATGGTACTCATTTTCTTCAGGTCTATTGCTACTGC